GAGGGGGAAGAGGAGGAGGGGGAGGAGGAGAAGGAGATGATGAGGAGGACGAGGTGGAGGAGGAGTGTTTTAGTACTCCATGGGCCGCCCGTCGCCACTCTCGCACCGAGGCCCGAGGGAGACTAAGGCGAAAGAGGAAGAGGGGGGGAGGAGGAGGGGGAGGAGGAGGAGGATGAGGATGATGAGGAGAAGGAGGAGGGGGAGGAGGGGGTCGAGGAGGAGGAGGAGGAGGAGGAGGAGGAGGGGGAGGAGGAGGAGGACGGGGAGCTCATTTCATGCCCGCTGGCCACTGGCAGGCGCGGCGCGCGCGGGCCAGGGCCGCTGCTGCGCCCGGCGGAGCCCTGGCCGCGGGGGCGAGGGCGAGCGGATGGCTGCCGCGCCATGCGGGTGGCGGCGGCGGTCGGCGGGCCGAGGGCGCCTGAGCCAGAGAGCGCACCGCCAAGCAACGCCGAGACCCTCCCAGGCCTCCAACGCATCGAAGAATTCCCTACGCAAATGTTCCGTCATTTTCGGCCTCCGGGGGCCCTCGTTGTGCCCCAGGACCGTGACAAAAATAGCCAGGCGAATGACCCAACCATGTGCTGTTGTGAGTACCGCAGTTGTGAGTATCGTCTTCGGTGGAGCTCCCTAGTCATCGGGCCACGAAACGTGTGAGGGGTGTGCTGAGATGGGTGCGGCGGGCGCATGCGAACGCAGCCACTGGGGCCTTCGGTGGAGCGCCCCATGGGGCCACGAAGCGTGTGATGGGTGTGCCGAAATGGGTGCTGCGGGCGCATGCGAACGCAGACACTGCGGCCTTCGGTGGAGCTCTCTATGGGGCCACGAAACGTGTGAGGGGTGTGCCGAAATGGGTGTGCGTGGCGCATGCGGGTGGTGGCACTGGGGCCTTCGGTGGAGCCCCCCGTGGGGCCACGAATCGTGTGAGGGGTGTGCCGAAATGGGTGCGACGGACGCATGCGAACGTATCCACTGGGGCCTTCGGTGGAGCTCCTCATGGGGACACGAGATGTGTGAGGGGAGTGCCGAAGTGGGTTCGGCAGGCGCATGTGAACGCAGCCACTGTGGAGCTCCATATGGAGTGACGAAACGTGTGAGGGGTGTGCCGAAATGGGTGCTGCACGCGCATGCGAACGCAGCCACTGCGGCCTTCGGTGGAGCTCCCTAAGGGGCCACAAAACGTGTGAGGGGCGTACCGAAGTGGGTGCGGAGGGCGCATGCGAACGCAGCCGCTGGGGCCTTCGGTGGAGCTACCAATGGGGCCACGACACGTGTGAGGGATGTGCCGACATGGTGGACTGGTGCGGAGGGTAGAGGCAAAGATGGGAGGAGGGAGGAGGGGGAGGAGGAGGAGGAGAGGACAAGGACGCGGGGCGCTGTCTCTTCAAAACGGGGACCCAACATCACAGGATGGCTGGGAATGGCTCAGGATGCAAAGTGATCCTGCTGGAGAGATGCCGCAGAAAGCTGGGCTCTGGGGCTCCGGGCAATGATCTCTCACGGTGCTGCAATCATTGCGCGCCGTGGGATCCCAGGGGACATACACGTCCACAGCTGCTGGAGTCTGGCGCTGGATCCATGGTGGACGCGCCTGCTTTCCAGCCCATCAGGGGCGGGCTGATGTCCATGTCCACCGCTCCTCGAGAGGCCCTCAAGCTCCTGGCGCGCGACTGCTGGGAAATGGATCTGGACATGTTCCGGCGATGGAAAAAAGCTGCCGTGACGACTTCGGCGTCCTGGCCCCGAGCGAATCGCTGTCTTGAACGATCGCGTCTCTTCGGCAGTTCGGTGGCAACTCATGGGAGCCTCCCATACCATCTTGTCGGCTGTTGCGAATCGACGCCAATCGACGCCAGTCGACGCTAATCGACGCCAATTGACGCGAGCCGACGCTAAATCGGCGCTGTCTCATCGACTCCCAGGCGCTAGCCCACGCTAACCGACGCTAAAGACGGGATGAGCAGGGTGCGCGAATTTGGACACCCGAAATGGGTACCGAAAGAATGGGTACAATGCCCAACAGCAAATGTTGTCCCAAACCAACAGCGGCCGCTGTTTGGCAGGCGGCCTCCTGTCTCGAATGGACACAAGCCGCCGCGGCGTGGACAGCGAGCCCTGTTCAAAATGAACAAGATCCGCTGTTGGGCATTGTACCCATTCTTTCAGTACCCATTTCGTGCGTGCAGAACCGAACGGTCGTGCAGATCGACGCCATACCGGCTGACTCCTGGACGCTGGCGGCGCTCGGCCCAGAACGCCCTCGCGGGGGTCGCCGTCGCGCTGGCGCGGGGCGAGCCTGCAGCAGAAAGCCTGCCGCCGGCCGCCGGGGGGCGACCGCCTCAAGGCGGCGCCGGGGGCGAACATGGGGGAACGAAGACGGACACAAACATAAAAACTCGGAGGCCCGCGCGGGTGTCTCGGATCGGCGCTGGACCCCCCCTCCCTGGCGCGCGGAGCGCGCCAGAGGCGGCGCCGGAGGCGCCGCCAGGGGCCCCCAGCGCGGATGCGAGAAATCCGCGCGGACCTCCGAGTTGTTGTGTTAATGTCATTCTTCGTTGCCCCAGAACAGCGTATTCGTAGCCGCGCTCTCGCGGCCCGGGCCCTGGGGGTCATGACTCCGAGGAGCGAGCCCACGCGTATCCGCGTATCTCTGCGGGGTGTCGCGCCACAATGACCGACCACAACGATGTTTAATACGAAGTGTCGTTTTCAACGAACAACGAAACGAAGCCAAGCGTTCAAAACGAACGTTGTAAAAAAGCGCAGCTGGTGTCAAACGAGAACGAGCGACGAAACGGGGCGTTCAAAACAACGACGAGCAACGACACAGAACCACAAGGAGCAACGAAACGAAAAACATAACAAGGGCCCAAGCCAAGCGAAACAGCGTTGTGGTCGGTCCTTGCTTTTCCAGCTGCCCCCGCTTACTCTGCCCCCGCCCACGGAGCCCAGGGCCCCCCAAACGGGGGCACAGCCAAACGTGAGAATCGGCGTTCCCCGTGCCCCCGTCTGCCGAGCACCCGTCTCTGGCGCCCTCGCTCGTGACCCCTCTCCCTCGCCCGGGCCTCCGCCAAGCAATCGGACACCGCCTCCGTGGTGGTGGCCTGCGGGTGGGGGGGGGCGCGGGCGGGCGCCCGGCACTCTGCCAGCTTCTCTTTTCCTCTCCCTTCGCCTGCTCCTCAAACCTTCTGCGTCTCCCCCCTCCTCTCCCTCCTCTTTCTTCTTCTTCTTCCTCCTCCTTCTCCTCCTCCTCCTTCTCCTTCCTCCCTCTTTTCCTCCTTCTCCTCCCTCCTTCTCCTTGTCCTCCTCATCCTTCTCCTCCTCTTTGTCCTTCTCCTTTTCTGTCTCGTTATCCTCCTTCTCCTCCTGCTGCTCCACCTGCTCCTCCATCCCTCTTCCTTATGAACGATATCTCGTCCGTCGCCCCGCCAGACATGTCCGTATGCCGGGCCAGGCCAATCGCTTCAACGTTCGCTGCATTTTGACGTCCTGAAGGCTTACAACTCCAGCAATTACCGCGACGGAGGGCCAGTAGTTTCCAACGTGAGGCCCGCGCTGCGGCGCCACACGCATTCGTTTAGACATCTTCCCGCATGTACGGACATCGAAGCGGGCTCCTGTTCAAAATGCGGCTTTCGCCGTAACCCTGCGCACGGTTTGAAACAAGCCAACGAATTACACGGATGGGTGGGTCCAAATGGGGCTCTCGCCGTAGCGCCGCGCACATTCGCTTTGAACTTTTCCACCAACTGAGAGGATGGAGGCCCGCTCATGTTCAACACGTTGTTGCCGCTTGATCGTTTCTCATTGCAGATGGATGCACATGTATATACATATCTATATATGTATATATGTATGTATG